TGTTAGATAGATACATAGAAGTACTGCAATATTCTCAATACACTAGACGTTAAGTATACTTCCCCTCTCGTTTTTAAAAAAAAATTGTCAGTTTTAAGTTGCATGTGGAGGAAAGTGGGCTGCAAAATTAGGATCGTTCTCCACATTCCACAACCTTTCTTGAAGAAAGTGATGAGTTTTTTAAGTTTTTTGCTCAAGAGACTAAGAAAACTCAATGTTTTTAGATTCCTAAATTTTTCTCTTTTCTAGTACCTTCAATACTCTTTCTTATACATGGTTTGATAGAGCAAAGTATTTTCTTCGTGATGAAATATCTTTCAAAAATTTTCCATCGGTTTTCGCAGAGATAAAGCATCATCAAAAATGAACCGTTTATTTAAAAAGCCTAAAACAGTAGCAGTTCCAATCTGTGTACATTACGAACCCATCAATGCTTCATCTGGGTACGCTCAAAATTCCAACAGATACTTGCCATAGTGCATGTGTTTTCGATTAACACTTCGTAGTATTAAAACCAAGTATAGCTAATGTTGGAGAAGTACTTATAAAAGTTTATAGCAAGTAAGTAGTTTTGATGGTACTTACCAATTTTACTCAAGTAGGTTCACTAAGACGAGACGATATCTTCGAATCCAAATATTTTGTTTTTCTTTTTTCACTTTTCTTCTCGAGATAGATAGATATAGAGTTTTCAGAATCAAAAATCAAGGTTTCACCTATAGTTTTATCATTCTTTTTATATGTCAAGATGGCGGTTGGATAACAGAGAAAAATTTATGGAACGAAAAACATTTGTGCTTTTTTCTCACTTTGTAGCCCAAACTTTCCTTCGCATTAGGTTATACATTCAACTCAACATCGAAATTTTTGACAAAAACGAAAGGGAGATATCATAAAAACAGTTTTGGTTAATAGATTTTGTCAACTCAATAATAAATCCACTGACGAGGCAATTACCCCTGGTGTTCAATCGCTTTTCCCCTGAAACATACATAGTAAATGTTTGTAAGCCGTTTTTACAAGTTTGTTGTATATATTTGAAGTCATTTTACTTTCTCTTGTGAAAAACAAGATTTATTTATTCAATCCAAACGTTTCAGTGTTTCATACATCTCCTTCAGCAGATAAATAATTAAGAAAACACAATATTAAGCGAAAAAGACTGGAAATGATATACAGATGGGTTAATAATGGATATAATAATAAATAAATAATATGTAGTCAATGATTTCCAACCATACAATGATGGGTGAAAAGAGGATCCGGAAGTCTATTCGTGAGAGCGGAAATTTCGCCTGACATCAACAGAACTCATAACTTAAGATCGAGAAAGGAAAAGTAGTGATCCTTAGCAATCCTGTTCTAATTTTTAGATGTTGTTAATTTCAGTTTTATATTTCTTATCGCTCAATTTTATGTTTTATTAATTATTTATCTACTGAAGGTGTATAAAACACCGAAACGTTTGGATTAAATAAATAAATAAATCTTATTTTCTACAAAACAAAGTAAAAATGACTTCAACATACATAGTTAACAGTAGTTTTTGATACTGTTTACAAATCTGATATCCGTTCGTGCCCATATGATCTTTCGAAGTGGATCTTCGGAAAACTAGTCTCTGGAGACTCATGTAGAAATCCAAGAAAAAGAGATTTTAATTTGTCTGTCTTGTAGAGCATGTCGAATTACCTGTATGGATAAATCATCAGTCATAACGATAGAACTTTGGCTGATTTGAAAGAATTTACATTTCGATTTATTGTTTTCCGAAGATCCACTCCGACAGATCATATAGATACGAACAGATATTCGATCCGTAATCAGCATCCAAAAACTACTTTTAACCATATATGTTTCGCGGAAAAAGCGATTAGACACTCAGTTCCTTTGTGAAGATGAACAATGAATATGCTGAATAATCCATTTTTGACAGTCTTCGATAAGATGTTTCTTCATTCGTACATTTATCATTGTAGACCTCACATGGAAAGACTTTATATATGACAAAAAACTAAGCCAGGTAACCCTTGCGGGTTATGCCTTGCCTGGTGTATCGTATAGGTCCGAAGACCTCATCCGTCCTTGTCTAGGGGAGTGCTAACCGTCTCTCCTTTTTTACGACACATTAAATATATGATGTTGTCATTATATATATATTGGAATAAAAAACAGAAAAGAAAAACGATGACTGACTAAGTGAATGAACATTAATCAGTGACATCTATCTCTTTACACAATAAAAAGACTAAAAAAATTATTCAACAATAAAAAGTCATGAAAAGGTATGTGAACACTAACTTGTGTATAGAGTGTGATGCTTACCTTCACAGAAAAATATATTGTTCCCAATAATGTTCCACCATATATTATCGTGAATAGAAGTCGATCTATACTTAATAAATGGCGCAAATGATTTACTGGACCCCATAACATTGAAAAACTAAAATAAAAATAACGATTCATTTTTCATTCTTCAAAAATCTCTTGACTTTTACAAAAATCATATTATACATAGAATAATGAAAGTTATTAATACCTCAATAGAAAGAATAGACTACCAAATGAAAATAATAATGCAAATTTTCTTGCTTTAAACACAATAACTGGTATATACAATGTGGCTAATCCCATACAGAATATTCCCATTAATAAAAATCCCATAAATCCAAGTATACGCTGTTTTTTACTCTAAACTAATTCAAACACACACTATAGTTACAAATATTTACCATTAATCGTATAGTGAACATACTAATGTTGGTAAGATTGGATCATTTTCTCCTTGTTTTAAAAGGGTACTCATATCATAACTATCGCCCTTTGTTGATATGAAATCACCTTCATATCCTCCGAAGAGTGAAGAACGTGATCGTCGTATGAATTTATTGAATTGATTCATATTCGTATTGAAAACATCTCGTGAAAATATTGAACGTGTCCATGTGAAAGAAGAATGATTATCATCGTCATGAATTCCACCATTTTTTGATTCACTAACGAATTGTTTTAAACGAGAAAACTTACTATCCATCTAAAATAAAATATAAGAGAAATTAAATCGATCTATCGATTATAATATTAATAAAAAATATAATTCGTTTTTAAAACACATTGATTCACACGTTCTATTAAAAACTTCGAAATTATAAAGAGAATTTTTCACAAATTGAGATCATTTTATGAAAAATTAGAAACTGATCTTTGTCACATGATACTTTGAAAAAAACCACAAACAAGTATAATTAAGTAAACAATCAGTAACTAGTCTATTAGATAGATCAAAGTTAACAACAGAATGATCATTATCCGTTGCAATAGTGTAGTTTTACATAAAATTCACACCTGTGAAAGAAAACGATGACTCGAAAATTATTTTCCAATACAGAAAACTTCAGTGATAGACACATTGATTACACGCGTTTTTATTTGTCAGCGATTAGGTAATCTAGGTTTTTGAAGAAGTTTTAAAATAGTCAAATATATTGCATGAGATTTGAGTTGTTTTGAGTGTGGAATATGGATATATTTGAAAATTATTTTTTAATTATAGTAATAATGATAATAGATACTTCTGTTTGTACAAAGAATGCAAGTAGATTCATTATTTTGTTTAATAACATAGAAGAATCATAATCATCATCAGCGGACGAAGATTCTTTTGTGCCCGGAATTAAGACAGATTTGTACCTGTTTAAGACTTTTTGTGGCCGGTCCGTGTACAAAAAAATCTTTTTACACTTTTGTGCCCGGATTTAATTGATTTGTGCTTGGTTTGTGTGCGAGAAAATTTAATAGCAGAACTAGAGATGACCATAAGTTATCCGAACAGATATCGAGATACCGAAACAATAGGTCTTGGAAAAAAGTAACATATTGATGTATCCAAGCTAGAAAATATCCTAAATGCGTATGATTATAATCATGATAATCGTGCTAGTACAACTCGCGCTTCATCACCTGTTAGAGATATTGTCAAAAAATCAGTAGTAGCTGGATCAACTCAATCTCAAACACGTCGTGCTGTACAAATGAATGCACTAGTGATGTTCCAAGTACACAAGTCTCAAGTTTGTTAAAGTATCATCTTTCAGTATCAAGGCCAAATGTTCGTTCGATAGATGATTTTCATGTATGGTGTGAACAACATTCTTTCTTCTATGCTTACATATTCTCTCTGTTCTGTCTGTTTTTACCACTGCGTCAGTAAATAAATAGTGATAATAGCCTTTCTCATTATTATTCCTAATCTAATTAAAACCGGGCACAAAAGTGTAAAAAGATTTTTTTGTACACGGACCGGGCACAAAAAAGCTTAAATGGGCACAAACAAACGGACGTCCCCTGCAGTTTTTCTTCGAGCATATGCCGATCGATAGCATATATCAGGATAGTAAAAAGCCTAAAAGGATTTTGCCCATGGCTCTTCACTAGAGCAGTTTTTCGGTTTTTTCCAGCGAAAATCCAGAAAAATAGAAAAATCCATAATTCTGTCAAATTAACTCGTATCCACTTGAAGGTTTTACACCAGGTAGGGCTGTGCAAGCCCTGATTACTCTGATAATTTCAGCTCTCTAGTACGTTCCATTTCCAAGTTATAAGGTTTTCTATTATAGTAGAGAAAATCTTAGATGTTTTCGTTACTGTGTTCTTTTGTTGTTGTGTCTACTATATTCTCTTGCATTTAGAGTCACATCTACTCTCTCTGTTTGGAACGTGCTAGAGAGCTAAAACTGTCAGAGTAATCAGTGCTTGCATAGTCCTACTTGGTGTAAAAACTTCAAGTGAATACGAGTTTATTTTGACGGAGTTATGAATTTTTCTATTTTTCTCGATTTCTGCTGGGAAGAACAGGAAAACTGCTCTAGTTTTTGAAGGAAGAGCCATGGGCAAAAATGCTTTTAGACTTTTACTATCTCGACATATGCTATCGATCGGCATATGTTCGAAGAAAAACTGAGAGGAACACTTCCATAGGTTCCCTCGTTAGTATTTCGCCAATATCTCGGTAAATTTTCATTGCCAACACTCGAACTTCTTTTTAAAAGGTTTTCCGTTCAATTCTCTACAAAAACTATACTGAACATTTTTTATACATGGTATAAATAAAGGAATATGGATGAAACACTGTCAAGCTTGAGTCTCCATTAGTTTCTATCCTAAAAAATGGTTTTTAAATTTTAGTCCTTTATTAGTTGGGATATAAGATAAGAGAAAATGACGATTTTGTAGCTCTTGTAACTCTTAACTTTCTAAATTCAAGGAAGGAGTAGAATTAGAATAGATATCTATGGCAGTGTTATACAATATTAAACAGTTTTCTGAATAATTTACTCATATGATCAGCCGGTGATCACGTCATTTCCTTCTATTTAATCGATGTAATTTCAAGTCCAATTCAATTTTTCTTTAGTAGATTAAATAAATTTTGATTAGACATGGATCTTATTTATCAATCAATAAGATAAGTCATTAATATTCTAAGAATATTGGTACCAAAAAAAACAAACAATTGGATCTGACTGGAAATGATAATCGATCCTATCCACTTTCAATTTTCCATTTTTACTTCTCTATTTAATTTAGAACTATTAATGAGTGAACTATTATCAAGACTAAGATACAGATATTTATCTAAATATTTTAATTTCTATTTATAAAATTTAATAAATGGAAAAAATTAGTCTTATAATAAAAATAGTTAGTGATAAATATTCTAAAATTATTATTGTATTTTTTGTTAAGATTTGAGGTTAAGAATGTAGCCTGAAAATATTACTATCCATTGGAGGTGGGCGAGCTACCTAATCGACTCGTAGACTCGTGCTCGCAAGCTAGCTCGATCAGACTTGAGTCGAGCCGCCAGCAGACTTTCTTTTTCTCTGGGCGAGCCGATGTCCCGCGAGCCACGTTTGTGAACACTACGTTTTTAAATGTTTTTTTCACATATGTGGGCGAAACTATCGCTGTTAGCATCTTATTAGTAACAATATGAACACTATAATGTGATTGATAGTTTTTTTCATCCGTTCATCCATCTGTAAATTATTTCAGTTGTATCTTTATCTCTTCTGATTCTTTATGTTCATATCTTCTTCTGTCGATGCCTATTTGGCTATAAACAATAATCCAAATGGAGTCAACGTCATTATCTTTCCTTGAAGACGACAACGTAGTGTCTTCTTTCTCAACTCCTACGCAGTGTTTTTAATGATTAGTGGGACAAGCGAGAGTAAAATGGATTTCCACTTTGAATAATGAATTTCCATTCTGTTTTCCACGCTGAGAAAAGTATAATATATCTCTTTGTTTTCCACTTTCCTTTTGAGAATTTCTACCTTGTCTTTTTTTCATATTTTCTGCCTTAGAAAAATCGATAACTATTTGTTGAACAAATGTGAGCGACAGAACTAGTATAATTTTCTCTTTAATCCTGTGACTTTTATCACGATCCGACATCGCTAGCGTCTAACGATTATCATCAACAGGATATTAGGAAGAAAAAAATCTCTTCTAGCCAAAAATTTCAACTGTTCCCATTCTGCCCACTTTAAGTTTGGCTCAAAATGGAAAGTTCCACTCTGGAAAAAATTTCTATTAAAACACTATTCCTTTGAAATATACCAGTGGTAAGAAGAAACCGTATGAATTTAACATAGTTGATTTTGACAAAAAATGTTTATGGCCATCAACAGTATGGCTAAAATTTTGCTTAAAAATCGCTTCTGTAAACATCTCTGGTTATAATGATAATCAATGGAATTCAAAGTTCATGTATGATACGTGATACTGTC